TTTTATTGAAATAGACAATACCGTAATCCCTGAAGCACAGAAAAGTATTTAAAAAGATGCCAGGCAAAAACTTCAATTAGGAGAGCCTACTGACTTAAAAAAATCGAAGCTGTGGAACAAAAAGACCGGTGGCCGTTGCCGAAGGTCCCACAACGACATCTACAGTAACCGGAAAATATTTCCGGTTTCCGTATTTTTTTTTTCGTTTTTCACTGCTGTCGATTTTTCTGGTGTTTTTCCTTAAACAAGTCGGAAAATTGAATTTTTTGGTGGTAAAAAAATTGAATTAAAACTTAAAAACGAGAAAATAAATCCGGAAAACAAAAACATTTTTAGGTTACGGTAGTTGTCGTTGTGGGACCACATCTCTGATTTTTTGGTACCAGCAATAGATCGACATGTTTCTTAGGTGTATGAAAAGCATACCGAATCCATATAAAAGCAATAAATTGACTCCGACCGCAACTTCATTGACATTGAAAACTTTCGGGTCGAGTGACGGCTCCATAACCTAAAATTTCATATTTTGCAATTTTTCGAATCCCCAATCATCTTGCAAAGTTTACCCTAGCTCCATATCGACTCACAACAGACATTGTTGTATTTTGATTTGTCAGCAATATTGCCAGGAAATCGAAAATATTGTTTTGGCTATAGAATGTTCTAGTTTCTGGTGCACAGAGGAGAAAATTGGGGAAAAACACAAAAAATTGTTTATTAGGACAGAATGAGCGTAGATAATAGAGAGAAACTATCACCAGTGACGAAAACTACAGCACAAGTCATAGACGAGAGAGATAAGAGGCGCAGAGATATAATTAATAGCCTAAACAGAAACACTTGAGAGTGAGTGGTCCGATTGAGCAAAGTGCAAATTCCAAAGAATCAGAAAAAGTATCAGTTGTCGTAAGAAATTGTTCCGAGAAAGATTTGCAAGTTTATTTTTTGACTGGATAAGACAAACCAGAAGGGGTACTGTAGCAAAAACCTATTTCATTGGGAAGATTGTTCACAGGACATCGACATATGATTTCTCGAAAAATGGGACAAAGACAGGAAATTACGGAATAATAAATGGAAAAAAAATACAAAATCAATTTGCAACATGTTACAGGTTAATGGTAGATTCTATATCAACAACTCTGTTTCAAAATGGATCCTTTCACATAATTATAGGGATGTTTAAATTCGATTTGAAAAGTGTTAAAAAGTTAATTTGCAGAGAGACACTGGTGGCCGTGGCCGAATGTCCATAATAACAAATACCGTAACCTAAAAATAGTTTAGTTTTCCGGATTTATTTTATCGTTTCCACCTTTTTCACTGGTCGATTTTTCTGTAATTTTTTCACAAAAAAAAGTAGAAAAATATACATTTTTAAAGTGAAAAAATTGTCTGAAAACGCACGAAAATCGAGAGAATAAATTTGGAAAATGAAAATATTGTTTAGGTTCCGGTATTTGTCGTTGTTAGAGGAATTAGTTCAAGACTCACCTTCAAAAAAGACATTGTAGATATTTTTCGGATCACCGGAGCCACACGACTCGAAAGTTTCCTGGTCATTGACATTTAGAGAATATTTTGTTTCGTTCCAAAATTTTGCGTTTTCTGACTTCTTTTTTATACTCTCTGCAACCAATCACCAATAAACAAAAATTGTGATTTGAGAGGCAACTTTTTTTTCTAGAGACTCTTATCGTTTTCAAGTCTCACAGCTGGAGCCGGCCAGGAACAATCCTATCGAACGTTCGATAATCTTTCATTTGTCAGGGAAACCAGGAGGTTCTGTTTTGTAATTTATTTACATTTCCTAATGATGCCACAAGTCAACGAGACGCTGAAAAATTGAGAGGAATAACAAGCAGAGAGAATTATCAAAGTCACAAACTACAGTGGTTGACTAATTATTTGGACATTTCTGGAAACAGTATTTTTGCAATCGTTTATTTTTGATAGGGGATCTGTCTGTTAGTCTATTTCGGACTTTTACTTGAATACCGGTCTTGAGCTTAACTATCTCGGCTCCCATGCAAGATATCACAAATAGCCAACTGTTAAATGTTATGATATTTGATAAACAATTTATTAGTTGACAAATTTTTTTATATCTTTCACAAGATAAATTGACTCGGAGTTAAAAGATAAGAGGCCCTTCTATTAAAGGCAGGCTTCACAGTAATACAAAGCAGCATGGGCTAGAAGGAAACCCACAGAGTTGAAAAACTAATCTTTCAAAAGTATGTTAAATCTTTGTAAAACTTGATGAAATAGTGTAAAATGTCTTTTGGGCAAACTTATAAACTGCATACGAAAATTGAGTCAAAATCTACAAAGTTGAAGATTAGGAAAAAAAACATCTTTTGTGTGTGACATAAGTTATGGTTTTGTGGCTTACTAGGAATGGGTGACAATTAGAAAAAAATTCACACCATATTCATATTTCTAGATTCAAAAAATGTAATTGAACTGCAAAGTTTTGACTGTTTCAAGTAATGAGAGAAACTACAGTAATCCATTAAAACTCATTTCTGACTAATTCTCTAATTCTGAGCAAAATCTACAACTAAAGACATGCCGTATTTCCTTAAATAGAAGCCCAATCAAACCATCAATTTTGAGCTCAATTATCTCAATTTATGTGAAAGATATAAGACGGTTGAAATTAATTTGAAGAATTTTTTTCTCATTTCTGAAAACGGGAATTTCTCAAATTTTATGTACAAAAAGAACGGAGTTTTATCAGTTGACAACATTTTGATATCTGTCACAGGAATCGAGATTATTGGGCTTAAAAATGACGGTTTGAGTGGGCTCCTATTAGGACATACGGTACCTCGTTCAACTTTCGAAAAATCGGCGGCGATAGTATTTATTAAAAAGTACGTGAACCATCTTGATGTGCTTCTGGGTCACCACGTCACGGAGTTGTTTTTCACGTCAAGATAGTCTCTTCCACGTTCACGTTTTTTCGACTGTCCGAAGCGTACGAGTAGTGCGACCATTCGTTTCCACGTGCGGCTCTCTGTCACAGAATTCCCCGTTGCTTCACGTGGAATCTCCGGAACAAAACCCAGTCGCCAGTAGCTCAGACAGTTCGCATTGTTCAGCTCAAATGAGTGCTCCATTCAACTTTGGTCAAAGACCGCGTGGTGTTATCAAACAGGAATGTCTTTCTGCAAATCGACTCAATCAGATTGACTTGATTCCCGAGCCGGTCCCCAGTTTCGAACTGACCCTGAAACAGTATGAAGAATTGGATATGCGTGATTCTGCGACCAAGATTGTGGATTCACTATCCACTCGAAAATTGATTCTGAGTCTGATGAAGTATCGACCAGAGCTGTGGAACAAACCTGGTTCGAGAGTACAAGCCAGGAATTGGAAAGAACTGGGATTAGATCTTTTTCATAGAACTGGAATTTTTGTGAACGGTAAGCCATGCAGTTTGGCCTTCAGAATCAATTGTTATCTTATTTCAGTTGGCTCCCTGATTCATGTCTTCAACTGTGCAAAACGAGCACTCAATTCAAGAATGAATAAATGTTCTCGGGATAACCAAGGTGTCGCTGAAACTGAAGCTGTAATGTCTCAATGGGAGTTGTTCCAAAGTTTTCGATTTTATTACGAATTCAAAACTGCCAATAGACATTTCGACGACGAAGATGATGATGACATCGAGTTCCTCGGAAGATATTCACAGAACCCTGAGAGAAGGTATAATCAAATTCCTGCTTTAAAGAAATCAACATTTTATTCCAGAGATCCTTCGCCAGATTTTGATTATTCTCAAGTTTATCCAGATGAACCCGTCACGGAAAACTTTTCATCTTCGCCAACTTACGAAAAAATGATTGCTGACCACTACCAATCGGGAGTTTTCGAGGGTGATCAAGAAATGAATCATTTTGAAAAGGTGAGTTCATTGATCTGCTGAGCTGAAAAAAGTTTGAATTCCAGAAACCGAGAAAACGTCCGTTGGAGATTTCTACAGACAACGATGTGGAACATGTTGGTTATCAAATGAAAAGAGTTTTAAAAGAGAATCCAGAAAAGGAGAAGCTTATCAGAAAGGCAATGTTTGCCACTATTCTTGAGTTCGACGATTCAAACTTCCACGATCTGGGAGACCTCTTCACAAGTTTGGCAGAGAAATACAAAGTAGCTGATAAGAAATACAACTTCTGATGCTCAAAACTTTATGCTTTATTGCCTCTTATTTGTCTCCTTTTCTTTTTTTCTATTTCTCACAACTATCTTTTTGTTGTAATAAATATTTGTTCTAGATTTTTTTCAAAAGGGGACTTCAGCAGAATATTTTTATTGCATTCAAAAATCCGGAAAAATTGCCATGTAAAAAAGGCGTTTCTCCGCCTGTTCCAACTTTTTTCTTTTTCACTGAAACTTGTGATCCTTTTTCTTTTCGTATCCTGATGTCCTAATCCGCGGAACAGTACCGCCTAATCCCTCCAACTTCTTCGAAAAATTCATTCTCTCACATTTTCACATTTGTTGAATATGAAGGCTTCTTCTCTTCTTTCTCTGTCTATATTCATCACTTTTGTATCAATATTCTCTCTTTTTTCTTATCTTCCATCATTCTTCGCTCAACTCTCAAGAATCGAACTTCAATTGGAACAGGAGTTGAACGAGTTTTTAAGTATTGAGAATGAGTTGAGAAAAGAATTCAACAAATATCCAAAAAATCATGTAAGAAGACAAAAAAGACATTGGTACAACTATTGTGAATGCGAATATTTAAATTTTTGCGCACCTGGAAAGAAAGGGAAAACAGGTGAGAGTTTTCTTGAGAATCAAGAGTTTACATATTCTTTCTTTGAGGCCCCGACGGTCCACCAGGGGAAGATGGTCTTCCTGGAATGCCAGGTTCTCCTGGAATCCCTGGAGAACTTCCAAACATTCTGTACCAACAAGTGTTAGGATGTCGTCTTTGCCCCTATGGTCCGAAAGGTAAACCTGGGTTCCGAGGGATCGATGGAATGCCGGGAGTCCCTGGTTGGCCCGGTGACACTGGCGTCCGGGGAATGAATGGAGAAAAAGGACCAATTGGAATCGATGGACCTCCCGGAGAAGCAGGAGTTCCAGGTCTTCCTGGTTTTCCTGGAATTCCTGGAAAGATTGGAATAACTGGAATCAAAGGAGTTATGGGAGAAGTTGGGGAACCTGGCGCACCAGGTATTCCTGGAGAAGAAGGTATTCCTGGATTACCAGGAAAGCCTGGAATCAAAGGTCCAGTTGGACCGATGGGTTATGAAGGACCATACGGAGAACGAGGAGCTCCAGGTAGGTTGATGGATCAGTTCATTATTTCAAAGCAATTTTTCAGGGGTGCCAGGTCCAATGGGTCGTCGTGGAGGTCCTGGTATGGATTCTCACTATTGTCCATGTCCCTCACGGAAGATGTTCTTGTCAATTCTCAGAGAGAAATCAAAGAAACAATTGTGAATAACCCTTTGAAATGTACCAAACTTTCTTTTCATATATCCCTTTCAATAAATTACTATTTGTCCATTTCATTTCACAGTTTTCAAGGTTATTTATCAGTGAAATTAGGAAAAAGGGCAAACTTTTGGGATGGATGAACGGTGTGTGAAGTGCTTTGAACATTTCCATCTTTGATGAGCGACCGAAATAAAGTGTTTGTTTCCGGAAATGAAAAGATGAGGAATGTTGAAAGAAAGGGTATCCGAATATGTGAAATTTGGAGCGTCTGTAGTTTGAATTTTAAGCTCTAAAATGCCGAAAATTCAACAATTGGAGATTTTCCAGAGTTTTTGGAGTTAGGGTAGGCATTCTGACTAAACAGTATACAAATGCTACAATACTTGTCCGTCTAATGAAATTGAGTTACTTTGGATGCAAATCTCTCTGATAGTGAGCTCCGGGATGCTACAGTCGACTATCTTGATGCAGCGAAAAACGCCAGACTTCTGAAAAATTGATCCCACTATTGATGAACGAAAAAATGTGATTTTTGAAGTTCGTTACTCTAAACTAAGTGTAAAAATTCTTCTAAAAGTTTATTTCCAAGTTACATGACATCATCTTCTGGCATGACTCAGGGTTATTTTCTCGTGCAACTACATTATACTAAACTACACAAAAATACATTTTGAACGGAGCGATCTAGCTTTTTCTTCAGAATTCGTGAGCTACAACACCTACACAAATCCGGTTTTCCAAATGAAAGATCTCATATTCTACAGTCTGTATTCTGCGAAAAGTAGGGTAAGCAAATGATGCTCTTCTTCTGCATTCTCTTCCCCGCACGATTCCTTTAGAATGGATCTTTCTCCGGTTTTTAACAACAACTGAGACCCGAATTCAGACGCCGGAACGAAACGAAGACGTCGTCAAAAAAGAACAGAGCGTGGCACTCATCGCTCAAAAAACAGTTTCGGATTCTTCGTTTTTCATTTCGCTTCGTCCGTTCTTTTATTGCATTCGCTTATGTTTGACCTGCACTGAACTGTACTCGTTACTAGGTCACTCTCTCCCATTCGGAAGCACCAAAAAGATCCATCATTCATTCCATTTCGAGAATTCTTCCCGAGTGAAAACCTTCATCTGATTTCTCTTTCGGTTTTGTTTTGTTTGGGGCGGAAAACGGTGGAAGAAAAGAGAAACCGTTTCCTGTCATTATACTCATCTCTTTGTTCCCCAGAACTCAAGAAAAACGGTAGGTATCGTCTCTTTTGTTCTTTCGACTCAACCAAAATGATCCTATACTTTCTTGAAGTCAGAAAGTCATACGCTTTCTGTTCGCCAAAATATTCAAAGTTACCGTATTTCCTCTAATAGAAGTTTACCCAAACCGTCAACGGCTCCCATGAGAGATACTAAAATCTTGTCAGCTAATGCAATATTTACCACAATTTCATTAATAATTTATCAGTTGACAAATTTTCAGTATCTTTGATAGGAGCCGAGATAATTGAGCTCGAAGTTTACGGTTTGGGTGGGCGTCTATAAGAGGAAATACTGTATTTCTTTAGTTGTGGATTTTTCTCAAAATTGGAGAATTAATAAGAAATAAAATTTTTTATTGCAAATATCAGATCCCAGAGAATTTTCTGAAAACGACTTCTGATTGTCTTGTTTGAAAATCGTAGAATGCTAAAAATGTAGACATTAAAACTTCCTTTTTTTCCAAAATGTTTCGAATTGTGATTCTGAAAAGTGTAAATTCGTTTTCAATTTTCTTCTATAAAAACCAACAGTTCAACAGCTTTCAGTTAATGAAGTTCTGGGAAAGTAATCAACTTTCTATTTCTTAACCGGTAAGCTTTTCTACTCATCAACAAGTATAATTAGAATGAAAGCCTTATATATACCAATCTCCATTGGAAGTGTTCCACAGATTCAAATCCAAAACGCCCTTTTGTCTTTTCTATTCTAATTTGCACCTTTTCATTAATCCCATATCCTTCTCCTCAACACCTTTCTATTCTCTTCACAAGTGCTCATAGCGGTATACCTGAAAGAAGGCAATACGATCGAGAGAAGAGCCTTCACACAGAGGGGGTCATTCCATTGCAACATTCATTATTATGCTCCCCCGAAGGGCATTCCCTTTTTGACCTCTTCTACCATATTCTAATGAGCTTTTCAATAGGTGGAAGAAGAGGAAGGACAAGGTGAAAAGAGGAGGAATTGAGGATAGAGAGAGAGAGAGAAAGAAACTGTCTGGTGACAGACTATCTGTCGACATGAAGCATGTTTCTATTCGTTGATGAGAGCACCTGTGCCGCGCGAATTGATTTATTTTGACGTTTCGAAACGGTTTCTTATTGGGTGTAATAGTTAACCTCAGGTAATATGGTATTGCACAATTTTGTCTCTCTCATAAAAATTATCCCTATACGTACACTTTGAGCTTAATTATCCTATTTTTTGTGAAAGATACCAAAAAGGCCAACTAACGAAATGCTTATCAGACTATCGAAAACATTTTATCAGTTGATCACTTTTTGATTTCTTTCATAGAAATCGAGATAATTGATCTCTAAATAAAGGAAAAATTGCGAGAGTGGCTCTAAAAGTCTGTCTGAAGAATAAATATCCATAAAAATATATTTTTGTAGTTGACTCTATTTTAAGAGCCATACAAAAACGATAAGCCGCTTGTTATATCAGGTGTCCGGCGGCCAGCTTTTTCTTTTACGAACGATTATTGTTCCATTAGCGGTTCCCCTTAACTTTCCCCACCAGCTAAACCTAGTTCCCATAACCCTGTTTTTCTAATTCCAAGTTGAGGTCTCTTTTTTGCAAAACTCAAAAGGAGACTGCCAACTTGACAACCTTGACTCAATTCTTATTTTCTGTCCATTACTGTATCACAGGCATTTGAGAAAATTACTTCCAACCCATGTGGGGCGGCTGATTTTTTTTCCTATTTCCGAATTTGAATCATTTTGAATTCAAAAAAAGATTTTTCCTCCGGTGGCCTCCTGAGATTGAGAGAGGGAGCCTGCCAGCCGTGTGTACCGTAATTAGACAACCTTCCTTCCTTTTCGTTTCGTTTTTTCCCGATTGTGACATTCTAATTGTTGGTGTCGAGGTATGTGTCGTTCTCCTGACTGTTTCACCTTCTCCCCCTTTCCTTGTCATGATCATTTTGTCATTTCTCCCTCTCTATGTTTTCCCTCAATTCCTTCGGATTGCTTCCCCCCAAGAATCTCCTTTTCAAATATTTGAGTGTTCCCTTCTAACAAAAGGTGTTCCCTTTCTCTTCTCGTCTGGGCTGTATTGTAATAATCGAGATCCCGAGAAATTACGACATGTTGTTACAGTAATCCTCTCCGTTATACTACTAATTGTAAATGTGTTCCGAAAAGAGGCGGAGCCAGTTTAGAACGCTTATCAGTATGACTTGTTGATTGGAATTGGTCCTTTTCAATCCTTTCCGGTGTGATTATTGATGACCCACATTTTTCTCTTTCTAGGTTTCAAAAAAAAACAAGGACATTCGAATTATGAATACACAGCCACATTTTATGTAGTTTGTATAATTTGATCCATAGAATTTGATTGAGAACATTTTATGATGATTTTCTGGATTGACTTGCAGCTTAGCTTCCAATACAAGTACTCTAACTTTGTTTCTGAAATATTATGTTTTGAAATGCCGATTTCAAAACTCATTTTTGCTTTCGAAATTAACGGGAAAATATTGTCGGAATTAAAAAACTGTCAGCTGCCGTGTGCAGAAACGAGGCCACGCCAAAATCGAACAGACCTAAAGTCGAACTGATTCAAATCAGTACAGTGTCTTTCTCGAACAAGTATCAAAACAGAACAAGGACAAAATCGAACTGTTCTAATTCTAACTGTACACTGTCGAACTGTCCCAAATTGGAACGCTGTTAGCCGCCGAGCGCGCTTGCATCATTTTTCTTTTCTCATTGTTTTTTTCGCAAATTTTGAAT